ACGGAAGAAGGAGCTTGATGAGGAGGAGAGCATCAGGAAGCGGGCTGTACAGTTTGGAACCGGCGAGTTGTGTGACGCCATCTCTGCAGTGGAGGAGAAAGTGAGATACTTGAGACCGTTAGATTTTGAAGAAGCCAGGGAACTTTTCCTACTGGGTCAACACTATGTGTTTGAGGCAAAAGAGTTCTTCCAGATTGATGGGTATGTTACTGACCATATTGAAGTTGTCCAAGACCACAGTGCACTGTTCAAGGTGCTCGCATTCTTTGAGACTGACATGGAGAGGCGGTGCAAGATGCACAAACGCAGAATAGCCATGTTAGAGCCCCTGATTGTGGACTTGAATCCCCAGTATTATCTGTTGGTCAACAGGCAGATTCAGTTTGAAATCGCACACACTTACTATGACATGATGGATTTGAAGGTTGCCATTGCTGACAAGCTCAGGGATCCTGACTCACACATTGTGAAAAAAATAAACAGCCTAAATAAGTCTGCACTCAAGTACTACCAGCTCTTCTTAGACTCTCTGAGGGACCCAAATAAAGTATTTCCTGAGCACATCGGGGAGGACGTCCTCCGCCCTGCCATGTTAGCTAAGTTCCGAGTAGCTCGTCTTTATGGCAGAATCATCACTGCAGACCCCAAGAAGGAGCTAGAAAACTTGGCAACATCTTTGGAACATTACAAGTTTATTGTTGATTACTGTGAAACTCACCCCGAGGCTGCCCAGGAAATAGAAGTTGAGTTAGAACTTAGTAAAGAGATGGTCAGTCTTCTCCCAACAAAAATGGAGAGATTCAGAACCAAGATGGCCCTGACTTAAGCCTTGGTTCAAAGGAAAGGAAACATACAACCTGGAGTAATTCCCCCTCCATCCACCCTAGTGAGCGAGCCCAGCTCCATGACCACCTCCACACCAGAGCTAGAGGAGTGCACGCTGAGCTTCAGGTGCAGTCAGGTACCTGAGGCTGTGCTAGGACCTTAACAACATAAAGTTCATTAATAATTTACACCTAATTATGTAAATTGCCTTGCTAAGTGACAGGTGTTTTGCATTTTCGAGCGCTCGTTTTCCTGTTTAAATTTCTAACTGTTAGGTCCTCTGCTGACTAGTGCTTGTTAGATTTCACACTCACAACAACACTAGGGAGTGTGCCTGTAGGAGAGCCTGTTACTGTGACGGATTTCAGAAAGTTACTTCCTGTAGTCATTCTTTGTAAAATACTTTCTTAAACTCCTAAATAAATCTTTCCCTTTTGAAAATACTAAAAACTTAAGTTAATTAAAAATGTTGTAAAATGGCTTATCTTAATTATAAGACAAAAGGCCTTGCACATAATAAATTTACTTGTTTCAACTAGTAAACATTTCTATTACCCCTTTTTTTTCTTGTAAGAATGTTCTTTTTAAAAAAAAAGATTTATCTTTATGTGTGTGTATGTGCCAAGTATTATGTCTGTGGATGGATCATGTAGCTGCAGTGTCTATGGAGGCCAGCAGAGGGCAGCAGCTTCCCCTGGAGCTGGAGTTCCAGGCAGTTGTCACTGCCTTGCGGGTGCTGGGAACCCAGCCCTGGTCCTCTGGAAGAGGAGCCAGTGCTCTTAGCCATTGAGCCAGCTCTCCAACCCATTTTCTTATAAAAATTGTCTTATTTTTGTCACCTTAAAGGTATTAGCTTATTCAGAGCCAGAGAATAATATTTCAGTGTTTTTATTAGTGTATATTAATTGTTCATAATAATAGATTTCACTTTGACATTTTCATACACATATATAATGTATTTCAATTATACTCACTCCTATTACCTTCTCTTGTGCCCCTCCCATTTCCTCAGTCTCCTTCCTCAAAAGAATATTTCTTTAATAGCGTTGCACAGTGAGGAAACATTTAAATAGAAAACCGTACTGGCTGGGCGATGGTAGCACACGCCTTTAATCCCAGCACTCGGGAGGCAGAGCCAGGTGGATCTCTGTGAGTTCGAGGCCAGCCTGAGCTACCAAGTGAGTTCCAGGAAAGGCACAAAGCTAGACAGAGAAACCCTGTCTCGAAAAACCAAAAAAAAAGAAAAGAAAAGAAAAACATATTGATCATGTTTATTATCAAAGAGTCCCGCTGTAGTTATAAACCACATCATAATTGTCATAAAAATTGACATTGTTCATATGTGTTGGTCATTTAAAGAAATGCAGAATTCAGGGCTGAGGACGTGATTTAGTGGTTGGAGCGCTTGCCTAGCATGGGCAAGGAGCTGGCTTGCACAGTCAGCATCCAGGAAGGAGGAAAGGAGGATGTCGGCTCACAGTCCAGATCAGTTGTAAGATTTGCTGTAGAGAATAGCCCTGTGCCTGCCTTTGCTTACCTATTAACTTACATCCTAAAGCTAATCCTAAGATTCCATGACGTTTCTCATGGGTGTGTATTTACATACCCATTGTGCTTTTCGGTTTGCTGGGGAACAAATCTGTGACTAGCAGTCAGTGTGGAGGGTTCAGTTCGAGTTTCACCAGTGAAATTCATTCAAGTGCATGTGAATCAGGCTCTGTCCTCATTCTTCGCATGAGACACGGGGTGAGCAGAACAGGGCCCTGTGCTCACAGAGCAGATGAACAGAGAACAAGGAACCTGGGGCTCCGTGAGGAAAATCCAGTGCTGATGCAATCGTTTGTGGGAAGGAGTGCTCTTTAGCTGTGCTGGTTTGGAAGGCCTGGACAAGGTAGAGACCCAGCGTGGAGAACTGAATGAAAAAGAATCCATAGAGTCTTCATTGGAGTGTTCCAGGGGTGCTAGGCTGAACAGCTTGCAAGGAGCCTGGCACTTTAGAAGATGTGGCAGGAACGGACCTGAACTCGGGGTGCGGGAGGAGGAGGACACCAGAAGGAGGAGGAGCTCTGTAGGTTGGGGACAGTTTGCATTTTATTCTAGGTGCAATGGTTCATGGAATTTTAGCAAGAGGCCTGGCCAATTGGATTAGAATTTTTAAGAAATCAGCTCCTATGGTCTGGGAACATGGCCTAGTTGATAGAGTGCTTGTCCAGAATGTTGAGAGTCCTGAGTTCAATCCCAGCACCACATAAACTAGACGTGGTGCTCCACACCAGTGTCTCAGTACTGGGGGTGGAAGCAGGAGGATCATAAGTTTGAGGTCTTTTTTAGCTACCCACTGAATTTGGGACCAGTCTGGGCTATATGAGACCCTGTTAAAAGAGAAAGAGAAGGATCAAGGAAGGGAGGGAGGGAGGGAGGGAGCAAGGAGACTAGCTTCTGAGGGGGATGGGTTGATCCAAGTCAGAGACAAGGTGTCTTGAACCAGGGTGATGGGGCAGAAGCAGAAGCCATGGGCCCTGCCAGGGGTTTCTAAGGGAGAAGAATCAGGAGCCACAATAAGTTAAGGAAGCACTATGTGGGGCCTGGGGGGTCGGAAGCAGACTTCTCTTTAGGATGGTAAGTAAGCCTGAGCTGAAATAACTGCTGTTCAGTAGCTTTGCCTGAGACCATCCCGAAAAGGTAATGGAGGAAGCCCGAAGGAGCCAAAGAGGGCAGGGCAGCTTCTTGGGGACAGAGATATGACAGGGAACCTCACCCCTCTCTGTCCCAAGCCTTCCTTTCACAGATGGAGATGTGTGTGTGTGATTTTCATGTATGTCTGCATCACATGTGTGCGGTGTCCTCAGAAGTCAAAAGAGGGTGTCAGACACCCTAGAACTGGAGTTACAGATGCTTGTGAGCTACCACGTGGGCTCTGGGAACCAAAACCAGGTCCTTTGTAAGAGCAGTAAGTGCACTTAACTGCTAAGCCGTCTCTCCAGTGCGTGTCCCCCACTCCCCCCACCCTGGCCTTTCTTGATACAGCCATTTGCACGACCTCAGTTCAGTGTTTATTCATTTAAAAAGTACCCTCCGAGCTTTGGGTACTACACTTGGAGAATTTGCTAAAACTCAGTGGCTTTTTTCTTTGCCTCTCTCCTTTTGGGCAGTGTTAACTCCATTTCAAAGGGTAAAACAATGCCAAGCAGAACAGGCAGTGACCGTAAAAACGGCCGTCATCCCTGTCGACATCAGCACACTCTGCTCTTTGTCCCTTGCTCTCTGTGGCTTTTCAGACTTTAAGACTTTGTCTTCGGTTATCAGCAGAAATCTCAGCTCTGTGTTCACTGACGCCTGGCATCCGCCATCTGAAGGCACTGGCTGCTTCCCTGAAGAGGGCTGTTTCAGATGTCCTGTTCTCAAAGCCCTTTGTACTGACATTACAGAGGACAGACAGCAGAGATCTGGGTTTATGTGCTTTAAAGATTTCTACATTTATTTCTATAAAGGTTGGAGCAGTCACTTGAGTGGCGGGCCTGTTTGGACCCTGGATCTCCTACAAAACTAAGCTAGTGGGTCCTCCCAATTTAGTGAGAACGGACTGTAAGCATCTCCAGTAAAATTCTTCACAAGCTCCCAAGTCAGGTCAAAATGAGAAGGAAAGTTGGCCTAACACCCCACCTTATCCAAACCGTAATTATAACTCTACAAAGAGGTTTTTCAGTTATCAGTTTTGTTTCTAAGCAGCTGGTCAGGGTTAGCAATCTTTCTGTAGCCATTGGAGAGAGCCCCCAGTTTTCATTTATCAGAAACAGTTTCTCATCAGGAGCTGTAAAAACAGAATCTTCAGGGCTGGAGAGATGGCTCAGAGGTTAAGAGCACCAACTGCTCTTCCAGAGGTCCCGAGTTCAATTCCCAGCCACCACATGGTGACTCACAACTGTCTGTAGTGGGATCTGGTGCCCTGTTCTGACCCGCAGGCATACATGCAGACAGAACACTGTATATATATAATAAGTAAATAAATCTTAAAACAAAAACAGAACCCTCAAATGTTTGGACAACAATAATATTTTTAATTGACCCAGTACATATGGATGTATTTGTTTGTCTTTTCTACTTGTTTTTGGCTTTTAATGGCTGAGTTATCTTTCCAGCCCTGTTTTTGTTTTTGTTGTTGTTTGTATTTTGTTTTGTTTTGTTGATTGTTTGAGACAGGGTCTCTCTGCAGTCCTGGCTGTCTTAGAACTTACTATGTAGACCAGGCCATCCTTGAACTCACGGAGATCCACCTGCCTCTGGCACCTGGGAATGCAGCTCTCCTTCGTTATTGTCCTCAGCAGGAGGTTGTTCACTTGGCCTCACTGTGGACACTATGGCTTTGAATGCAAGCCAGTCCTGTCCATCCTTCCAAGTGCTAAATTACAGACATGCCGTGGCACCCTGTAGTGTTTGTGTTGTAGACACTGGGACACAGATGGATGGGCCTTTCGGTCATCCTGCCAGCCAGAGAGAGAATCTCTGAAGAAGGAAAAAAGAAGGAGCTCCATTACATTCACTCATTCTGTTTTTAAAATTATTCTTTTCTTTTTTTGTTTTGTTTTGTTTTCTCGAGACAGGATCTCACTATGTAGCTCTGGCTGTCCTGAAACTCACTATGTGGACCATGCTGGCCTCAAACTCACAGAGATGCGCCTTCCTCCTGAGAGCTGGGATTAAAGGCGTGCACCACCACACCTGGCTAAAGTTATTCTTCATCATTATTTTGACGTGTTAGGACCTTCTGTGCATTAAGCTCAGTGTCCACCGTTGCCCTGTGCCTCAGGCCCTTTTAGTAGATTTTAGAAAGTAACCTGAAACCTACTGTGCACAAGGTCCTTGGTTCGGTTCCCAGCACTGCAAGGACCCAGTGCACACACCTGCATCCCAGCACTTGAGAGATGGAGGCAGGAGGACCGGGAATCCAAGGTTGCCTTTGGCTGCACGGTGAGCCCGCATGTAACTGTATAATCCAGCCAGACCCTTCAGGCCCTTGCCAGGAAGGTCATGACCCCATATTACATTTTATCTGCAGGAAATGACAAGGTTATATAACGTTCTATGTAAAAATACAGTTGAGAAACCTGAGGTGCCTGCTGGATGTGGTGAGCTGCTGAATGCGCTGTGACCCACAGCCGCCGCCTCCAGCACGTCAGTGCAGAGCTCGGGCCGGCTCCCTTCCGAGTGTCTCACTTGGGGTTCCTGCTATCTGTCTCCTGTTATCAGCAGGCTTGTCACAGTCAGTCACCTCTGATCCAGTCACCCAACAGCTGTTCTGCAGAAACTAAAAACGGCATGTCTTTAATCCCAGCACTCAGGAGGCAGAGCCAGGCAGATCTCTGTGAGTTCGAGGCCAGCCTGGTCTACAGAGTGAGATCCAGGACAGCCTGGGCTACAGAGTGAGATCCA